CACAGGTTAAGAGCATAGTCCTCCATGAGTAGGGCTGCCTTCATTTCCAACAGCAGCCGCAAGCTCAGGGGTTCCCAGCCTGCCCACACTTCTGATTAACTGGCTACAGGGGTGGCACTATCTTTTTGAGTTTAATTATTCACTAAAACGAGTTATAGAACTCAAGAAAGCACTGTACTTATGGTTATGATTTTTTTTTGTAGCAAAAAGGATACAAATTGTTTCGAGCCACCAGAAGAGAAAGGCAAGATCTGGGAGGGTCCCAGATGCAAATCTTCTCTATCCTCTCCCTGCAGAGTCAGGATGCACTGATGTGTAACAATATGCACAGAATACTGTTAACCAGGGATGCTTGCTCAAGATTCATTGTCTAGAGTTTTTAATGGGATTTCACTATGTAGGTATGAGTGATTAAATCATTAGCTATACGCTTAAAGTCAATTTCCAGCCCCCCTCCCCTCTGTGAAGATCAGGCTGATATCACGGGGGCTCAATTCCTCAACCCTATAATTATATGGTTGGTCTTTTTAGCATGGCCAGCCTCCACATGAGTCATCTCCTTAGCATACACTGGGGGCCCAACATGAGTCACCCCATCAGCATAAACTATCAGGGTCCACCATGAGTGACAAAAGTACTCTTATTCCTCTGGAAATTCCAAGGAGTTAGAGGTTACTTCCCAGGAGCCAAGGGAAAAGGCCAGTCAAATTCTTTATTACAAATCACTGGGCAAAGACGTCCCTGTCCAGTTCTACCCTGGACATTTTGCTTATATGATCTAATGAAACTCTTTTTGCTTAAGCCAGTTTGAGTTGCATTTTCTGTCACTATCAAGGGTCCTTTGTGACACACAAATCAACGGGTTTTCCTGACTCCTGTGTCTTCCCTCTAGTTTATATTGTATGTAATTGTTGGTTGGATCAATCTTCCTAAACAACAGTTCTGTTCTTGTCACCGTATTGCTGAAACACTTCCAGCAATCAGTTACTTGAGGCCCTTTTTCTTTACGGGCTAGTCCAAAACGTTTAGTCTGACACTTAAGGCCGCCATCGTCTGGCTCTATTTTCTTCATCTCCCACAACCACTCCTCAGATAGACAAACCATTAACCAAAATGGTCCACCAGCCTTTTTTTGAATGCTTTTTGCCTTTCCCCACGTTGTGCCTTTGTTCGGTCATCCTGTTTGTTTGGAATGCCCAACCCCTCCTTTCTGCCTGTCAAATTATACTCATTTCCCTCTTTGTGAACTCTTCTCTAATAATCCCAACTGTAAGCAGTTTCTGGCCGTAAATTCCTCATCAGTAGCACTTTTTTTGCACTTCTCTAGTGACACCTGCCACATCTTGCTTATTTTTAATATTTGTCCTTTATTGATATTTGTATGCTTACATTATACTACTTATGTTGATATTTAATGAGTTCTTCCAATGCTCCAAGAATATAAATATGAACAATTAGTTTGTAATCGAAAGCCATCAGTCACCTAGTAAAAGAGGAAACTATATCTCTTATCAATTGATTTTTATCCACCAGCCATTATCTCTCCAAATATTTTATCTCCCATATCCTGGCTGTTCTCTTCTTCTGGAATTCCTTTAGATGTAAGTTGGACCTTTACATTTTTTTTCCCCATGACTTTTCATATTTTCTATTTCTTTAACTCTGTCCTACAAAGAAGAAAATTTGTTCAGCTCTGTCTTCAAGTTTACTAATTCCTTCCTCAGCTCGTTCTAACCTGCTGCTTACCCCCATTTGTTCAGTGGTAAATTTAAATGACTATTCATTTCTAGATGTGTAACCAAGCAAGGGCTTTTTGTGCCCGTGGCTCAGAAAGCCAAACCCTGACAGTGGGTGTTCGCAGCAAAGTAAGGATTTATTGCAGGGTGCCGAGCAAAGGGGTGAGAGACAAGCCTCAGTTCCAACTTGATCTTTGAGTCAGGGTGTATTTTTAAAGGGGAAGAACAAAGAAGCTGGGGTTAATCATCATCTTGTGACATATCTTAATCATAGTTTTGGGAGTCAGGATGTCTCTGGTTTATGATTCTCAGGCCAGATGGTCCATGGCTTGGGGGCCTGTTAGCTTATCTTGTCCTGTTGAATTTGTACATTCAATGGTGATATCTAGCAATTTTGGTCCATTATCAATGTTATCAGCAACAGCAATCTCAGTCAACTGATTCTGGGATAAGTGTTTAGTTAGCACAGGATTGAGGTCAGCGAGGACAAGAAAGGGAATAAAATTTTGGATAGAGAGATAAATTATTAACTCTGTAAAGGAACTCAGTTTTAAGTGGACTTAATATCAGATATCCCTATTTGTACTGTAAAATTTTTGCCTTTTCTTTTGTAGTGAGTGGCCATTTGTTTTTCAATGCCCTGTAGATTTTCAAAATTTAAAACACATCCTTAGATTATGATTTCTTTTAGATTGTTTTTCTATATAGTAAATTCTGAGATAAAAAAAATCTCCTGTTTGTTGTACCCATGATTCGATTCTTTCTTTTGCATTCTTCATGGATTTTTATCATGAGCTCCCCTTCAGTGAGGCTCATTTTTGTCTGTACTCATCCCATGTTGCATAGGTAGCAGAGTTTGACATTAGCATCCTCTGGGTGCCCCAGAGGCAACGATAATTTCTAGGCTTCAGGTTACCTGCAGAATCAAGTAAATAAAGTAAATTCAGATTACTCACCAATGAAAGCCACAGGCTTGGAATTTTAATTTTCACAGGAGACTCGTTTTTTCCTACACAGAGTTAATTGTCATTTCTTGATCTTGTTGGCTGAGATTTTTGGTCCTCTTTGGCTGGGATTATAGCTTCTGAGGGTCCTGGACTATTCCTGCTCCCCCTCAGGTGGGCCTAAGAGGGCTTTTGTTCCTAAATGGCATTAAAACTCTGATCTTACCACTGTTTCCATCAGCTCCCCAAAGTTGTTACAGCCTTGATTCTTCTATTTCTCACTCTGGCTTTCAGTTCTTTCTGTGTTTCTGGCACTAGAGGACTCCCTTTCTTTCAGTTAGAAATTAGCTTTAAAAATGCTTGTGGTGGTGGTTTTTTATTCCTAAGGGCTTATAGCTAGAGCGCTTCCATGTTATCTTAGGCCACCGTCTTGCTGGAACCACAACAAAGATATATATGTATCCACCTACATAATACCCACCCACCAGAAGACAGCCTGATACAGGCTGTGATAGGGAAGCAAAGGGAATCTTTTGGAAATTCACAAAACGTAATGATTAATTGTGATTGCAGGGCTTGAGAAAGTCTTAATTCAGTAATGGTCTGAGTCCGTTCAGGATGCTGTGACAAACCACAGACCAGGTGGCTTTATGAACAACAGAAATCTACTGCTCGCAGTTCTGGAGGCTGGAAGTCTGAGATCAGGGTGCCCGTGTGGTTGGGTGAGACCTCTCTTCCAGGTCACACACTTCCTGTGGTGTCCTCACATATTGGGAGGGGCTAGGGAGCTCTGGAGGGTCTCTTTTTTTAAGGGCACTAATCCTATTTATGAGGGCTCCACCCTCATGTCCTCAGTACTTTCCAAAGGCCCCACCTCCTCCTACCATCATATTGGGCATTAGGATTTCAACATGTGAATTTTGAGGGAACACAAACATTCAGACCATAGCAGTAACTAATAACTGAATTGGGCTTTGACGAATGCATAAGATTTTTTTTAAACATTTTTTATTGAGTAATAGTCATTTTACAATGTTGTGTCAAATTCTAGTATAGAACACAACTTTTCAGTTACATATGAACATATATATATTCATTGTCAGTTTTTTTTTTGTTATGAGCTACCACAAGATCTTGTTTATATTTCCCTGTGCTATACAGTATAATCCTGTTTATCTATTTGAATGCATAGGGTTTTAACAAGAAGAGAGGGACGGTTGGGTCTTGTGGGGGAATCCCAGGTAAGGAGTGAGCAATCATGACAATGCATGTCATCTTGCAGAGTGGGTTACAGTCCTGTGTGGTTGGACTTGTGTGTGACTTACTGGATGTATCTTGGAGCACGTGCCTGAAAACGTTCCAGCATCTCCATGCAAGTCCTCTCATAGTGCTGCGTGCATCATACACACTAAATATTTACTGGATGAACAAACATATGTGAGAGAATGTTATCAAAGTAAGGAGTAGAGGCTGAATACCCAGAATAATGCTTAACCTCGGTGTAGCTCAGTTTATCACCTACAAAGAAGAAGGTAGCATGATATGACACTTTTTTTTTCCCTCACAACAGCATTTGTGGAAACAGGAGGGGGAAAGAGTGAGGGGATGGCCTGCTGGCGGGTCGTGGTCACATGCTGGCTCATTCTCGCTGTAGCCACAATTTGTAGGCATGGACATGGTGTTCCATGCACCCATGTAGCGGTCCATGCACATGGCAATGCACTGTGGGGACAGGGAGGGCGCCCATGATATGACTCTTAAGATTCCCTTCGGTTCTAAATCTCTGTGACAGCAATTTGTATAACTTAGTGTATAACTGGATGACTTTTTGTTAGGGGTAAATGGATTTGGTTGTCTATCTGCCATAGGGAAAGAGAAGGGAAAAGAGTGTTGAAAAATACCGTTTAATGTAGTATTGGTCAGAAGAAAGAAGGTCAGAGGTTGACCCAATGCTGGGCTATATTCTTACACCCTATTCAGAGTGGCTGCTATCTTGGTCAAAATCAAGAGCCATGGCTCAGAAGTTCCCTTTTGAGATTCCAGTTTTCAAAACCCTTCTCTGTATGCAACCTTCAGTTTCTAAAAATAAACAAAATAGGAAGACTTCTCCGTGGAGGAAATATTTAGCAATAACAACCACAAAAGTTTGAAAGGGAAACTCATTGTCCAACAAAAGGAAGGAGAAACATCTTGATTTCCTTTATTTTTAAAGAAATTTATGTCACTTCCTGAGCTTCCTAAAACCTCCTGAGATAGAAACAAAAGGGAAATGAGACAGTCACAAATATTTTAGTTTGTATTTGAGATAAGTGAGCAAACAAACATCATTGTGTCATATAAGAATAATTTTAAAAAAGGAATAAAGGAAAAAGCCATTATGGTTCATTTTGTGACATCCACAGTGCATTTATTCACTGATTCATTCTTGTATTTACTAAATATTTGTTGAGCATCTAATATGTGTCAGATGTTATACGAGGCACTAAGTTGCAGATGTGACTTAACTGGTAATTCCACCGTGATCATTCAACATGGTAAACCCAGTCTTTCCTTTTGTGTACTGGGCATCGTAGACTGGTAATTGAATTCTTATTTACCCATTCTTCTAGTGGCAGAGTTTGGAATGCTGAAAATTTTCA